TAGTTGCAGCCTGTGAGTGCTAGCTGCAGCTTTGACTAATTATTACTTTAAGAAAACTAGCTCTGCGTTTTACCGCCCGAGAGCGCTTGATATAAAAAAAATTTCGCCCGATAGCTAAGATTAAATTTTAAAAAATTACTGACCAAAACTTTATTATAGTTAAAGTTGACTTTGACTTAATTAAAATTGGACGTCAGAAGCAAGAAGCTCGCATTTTTATAGTGTTTTAGGGGCCTAACTCTGGATCAAACAGGTATATCGCTGCTTCGTTCCGTAACACTCAACTGCTGGTTCGTGTCTCAGGCATTCGGAGCGATGCTCGCTCCTCTTATCACCGACAGCTGCGGCAGAAAAAGTTTCTTTTTTTAATCAGTTTTTGTGCACTTTTCTAATCTTTTCAAAATTTAGGTACTATCTATTACATCCTTAAAAGCACAGGAGTCTTTTACTTTTCAAATGATACTTATGAATTGCTAGAAGTAACGTACGGAAGCGGTGCCAGACTGCTGTGCACGTTTGATTTTCCACACAGCAATTGAAGTTCAGCGATCAACAGAGAATAAGCAGGAGCCAGAAGCATCCTTGTCAAAGTCGAACTGATTATTATTGACGTTTATTTTTCACGGTGCAACAATAAAGTCGTCGCTGGAATAAAAGCGCTAAGATCTTTGTTGTAAAGTTCTTCAAAAAATTTTGGCTGCAATATCTTTGGCATATCCAACATCTTTGGCATATCTAACTCTTCGTTATTTTTAAGCTGAAACCGCACCAAAAAATCTACAAATCTTAGTCAAATTCAAATTCCAAACCCCTTTTCTTTTCTCTCTTTCACTTTTATTATAATTATTATTGTTGTTATTATTATCATTACTATTATAATCATTATTATTACCATTATTATCCCTATCATTATCATTATTATCGTTATTATTATTTTTATCATCATTATTAAAGTAAATATCTGCCAATATTAAGTAACATTTCAAAGTGTGTACAAAATTTTCCAATTAAGATCAGGAACTAGGTCACATCCTTCACAAAAAGAAACGTGCGTTTTGTTCCGCTTGTACAAAGAAACTATCCTTTACGGTCCTGCGGTTTCCGCTACAAAACGTCGTCTAGCTCAACACGGACATTTCTATTTGGAATGGTTAATTTTGGTTGAGCTTCTACGGCCCTTTCCGCTCTTCCTATTTTACTCCTGCAGTGCTAATGCACTGGTGAGCACCGCACTATAAGCACACAATATAAAAAGTTTCATTTTCAGTGGCTTACGTGATCGCATCATCAATAATGACATTAGCAGCGGTCATTCAGTACCTTGGTACGGTAACTCTGTATCCAGAACTGCTGATCGCTGGCCGAGCCCTCTGCGCGCTTTGTTCACCACTTAGTGATGCTGCCCTCATCCTTTATTTGCAGGTATTTCAAAAGCAATTCTCGCAAATACGTGTATCTTAGAATTTTATTCATTATTAAAATGGCAAATGTGCACTCGTCACTCACTTTTGATGTGCAGCTTTGAAATCCACGCATACTTGCAAATCGCAGGTGCAGTATGGCTTGCCTCAGTAGAGCAAAAAAAAAAATTTTACAGGAGGAACTGTCTGTTATCTGCACTCTGTTAGGTTTGATGTGTGAAATTATTTGTAGGAATGCTCTCCACTCGAAATGCGTGGAGCGTTCAGCTTTTTGGGCGAAATTGGATACGGCTCGATGTGCGTGCTCGGCATGATCCTCGGCTTGAAAAATGTTTTTGGCGATTCGCTCACTCGACTGCTCGGTTTCTCAGCCATACCGCAGTTATTTGGTGTTTTCTTCCTGTTGCTCATTCCCGAAACGCCGAAATATTTGATGATCACACAGTAACAACCTTCTGTGATTAGTCATTATATTTTTTATCTATAGGCAGTATTCCTTGTGCGTACAATACGACTGTGCAAAATTCATGGCGTTCAAATCAAACCAAACTTTGCTCTTGAAAAAAAAATATTGTGCGTGATATTTTAATATTAGAATTTAGCAACCTTGTAAGTCGATTGTTAAAGCGGCAAGAAAACAATTTGCAGCATTTCTCTGTTTTCCAGTAGGTAGGAAAGAAAGCAGCTTGCTACATTCCCCCGAAAAAAATATGCAGATTTTTTTGGCAGAAAGTAAATTCGTGAACCAGGCAAAATAGAAAGTTGAAGATTTGCACGGATATTCTATTCTAACATGAGTTCTTAATTCAGCTCGAGGATGAAATTCCTTGCACACAGATTGACAAATTCTCAACTTAACTATCGCAAAAGCAAAAGCGAGCGCATTTCTTAGATTTCGTAATCCTCTTCCGACTTCCTTCAAACTTGCGTTTTTCCAATGACGAGCATTCACCAGAAAAACAGCAGGGTGTCATGAAAAAAATTGATAATCATGCATACTGGAGGAAAGTGCGGGCCCAAAATGCGACACCTTCGTCCCAATCGATGCTTTTTCCCTCTGCACGCAGAAAAAGGCAAAAAGGCAGACACTTTGAGACCTAGTGTTAAATTATAGCGTGAGAGCCATTCCTGCTGTTAATGATCTGCAAATTTTGCACAAAAAGGCGCGATCGCACCAGCAAGTTTGGTGCGCTGTAGCCCCGAGTTTATTTTTTCAAAACGCGTTTTACGATTTCCTAACAATTTTGGCTGAATTTTCCTACATAGTAGCCAATTTTTGCCACTTTACTGGTTCTACCCGGCTTAATTTTAATCCTGTTAATGCAGCACTTTTCTTTTTTTTCCTGCACGATTAATTTTAGTGTCCATTAGCACACAAGAAAGAAGTTCGATTCTAGCTGCGTTGCAAACCTCATTAAAGGATTACCTGGAATAAATCATTGCAGGAATGACAGAAAAGGGGCGCTCAAATCGCTGGAGTTCTTCCAAGGCCAAAGAAAGGAAAATGAAGCTGTGCTGGATGAATATCTTTGCGAGGCCCGCGAAGAGGGTGAAATAAAAAAAGGAAGTCTAAAGGTACTTCAAGTAATCAAATAAGTGTTGGTTTTAAACCGAAGCTTAAAGTAGTTATGAGAAGTCGGAAAGTGAAAATGATGACTTTGAAATTACTGATGTGTATAAGTGATGTTAAAATTCTAGTGCTCTGATATTGTTGGAAAAGTTTTCAGGAAATTTTTACAACATGGCATCTTCGGAACGCTGCTTATCTATCGTGTATGATACTCACTCTGACGCTTCCCTTTTACCCCATTTTACAATCATCAACATATTTCCTACTCAAACTGGAAATTCCACGGTAACTGGTTCAGTGTTTTTTTTTTTAAGGTTTTTCAAATAGAAAATTTTGGGTGAAGTGAAATTTTAAATAGACGATCAGTGTTGTCAGTTATCGTACTAACAAATGACGTTTCGACTGGACATTT